CTCGGCAATGTTAACACTCTGAAAGTGGGTTTGCCTACTTCAAAGGAAATATGAGAACCGACGGACGCGCTTGATTTTTCGATCCGCTCCCTCACTTCTTAACGACTAGCGGCTTCGCAAGCTTTATCTTCTTGAGCGAGGCGGATCACGCGCGCATCGCTGACCACTTTGAATTCCGACAGTACGGGTGAGGAGAGAAAGAAGAGTCGATACGAAAGTTAACCGAAGGAATTGCCAACTTTGCCGCGAGCGGAAGTGAACGATAGATAAATAGGGCAGAAGTACATTTTATTCTCCCGAGTTCCCTTCCGATCCTTTCGCTCGATTTTCCTGTGATCTCTGAAAAACGAGTCTCGAAAAGTGCAACGAAGAACATTATCGACCGTCAACTCTGAGCAGCTTACTTGTCAATACAGCGTAATCCTTTCTGCAAGTGAGATAATATTTCACGTAGAAAAGTCCGTTTCTAGGCTGACTGTCCTGTAAAAGTGCAGTCATTTTTCGATTCGTTCATTTTCCGAGTAATACAGAATAGCGCGAACGATATTCCGCGGAAAATGTTAGCACGGAAATATGCGATAGCAGTCACACTGAATTACGGAATGCATTGCGTAAATGCTCGTCCGGGACGCATTAGCATTCATTCATTTATTTACTTTTTGTCTTTTTCTCCTCGCGATTTTTTTTCATTCCGCTTTACGCGGCAGTTAATGAAGATCTATTTTAACAAAAACTGATGGACGATAAGGCGTATGTATGTATATGTATGTCATAATAATGCAGCGGCGTCGTTTGTCACGCTGAGAAAGTGTCTCTATTATCTGTAAAATTTTCTCGGTCAAAGGAACGGTGTTCCTCGAATAGCAATGTGTATCGTGTGGTTTCACGGAAAATCTATGATGGGGAGGAGACGAAACATAATTACAGTGCGCGCCTTGTTATCGAGCTACTGAGGGGGCGGTCGTCGTTGGGTTGTTCGTCGGATGTCCGTCCAAAGCGTCGACTCGAACCAGGTAGCTAATGTTGTATACCGCTGTCTCGTTAGAATGAGATGGTTCTGCCAAAACGATAGAATGGCAGCACGCAGAATTAACTTTTATCATGGCACAGATACTTAGCTCGCGCGGAAGAACCTGTGCGCCAATCTTTTTTGTCGTTCGGAAGAAATCTTGTTGTCCCTTGTAAAACCCGATTAATCGCTGAAACCCGGTGCTCGTTAAAGATGGCGCGCACCATCAGTGCAATTATGTTTTCTACGGTAATTCGCTGTTATCAAATTATATGGCATAGCGCCGGGCATACATTTTTTTTTCAAAAAATTGAAGAATTAGGACACGACGAAAAATCAGAATAATCAAAAGGAACTACGTTACATCATAGGCATTTCCAGGAGAAGGTTTGGGAATTCAACCTCCTTTTCGAAATTTATTCATTTTTTTCTTTTTTAATTATAAAAAATATAGATAAATATGTATTATTTGTTTATCACTTGTGCTAAAAAAGATTCATCATAATGAAAAAGAAACGCAAGCTTTAGCTGTTTGAAATAATTTTATCGAAGCACAAACATAGCGATTGCAAAGATTCGTTTTGATGAGATATCAAAACGAATCAGGATAGGAGACAACCACAAGGACATTTCTACAGACATTTCGCCAAGCAGCTTGGCAAAATGAACGCTTTAATCACTCCTCAATTATCCGTTCATGGATGAAATTTTAATTTACGACGCGATAAAGTTCGAAAGAGTCGTGCCCGCGCGTGCAAAATTCGTTCGCTTTATGCGCTCTCAATTTGAAAGTTTTAGTTTGACCGTTAAGCCCCTCGGAGGGAAATGACGGGTAGAAGCCCGGTTGGAAAAGGAGAAAGAGGAAGTGGAAGGAAGAGGCCTGGAACGGCGGAGGAAAGTGTTGGAGCGGCGGGGGAACATCGTATTAAATCGGAAGATTGGAATTCTAATTAATACTCGCGGATTATCGATAAAGGGGCGAGAGAAACGGGTACATGAAGGGATGGGAAAAGAAGAGGGGCGGATAGCGGAACGATGACTCGTTCCGTTCGTTTCATCCTACGCGCGTCTTCGACACTCACCTTAATGTCTTCTCTAACTCTCCCCCGAGGTAGAACCTTCGTCGGAATAGATTATATCGTAATGAAAATCTTGACGTTTGACGTTTTGCAATTGATGACTCCATTCCTATCGATTCATTGAATATCCGGCGCACCGATGCGTATACGTGTCACACGCGTTTGCTACAGATTCGAACGGTGTAAAATAGATTTTAAATTGATTTATTATTTGTGACAGCATAAAGGAAATATTAGGGTGTTTCATACATATAGTTATACATAATTGAACTCTTTTTATATACATATAATTGATATGATGAATTTCATAGATATTTCCTGTAAAAATGCAATAGGGATTTTTTCGAAAATCTTTACACACAGCATAAAAATTGAAGAAAATAGACGTGCCCTTTGAACATAAATCTATAATCAGGATGTCTCTTATTATAAGAAGCGAAATCCTATGTATTATAAGAACTTATTGTTAGAAACTAGCTGCATGTACATAAAAATAATTATATTACTAAAAATAACTTTTATAGCGAATTTTATAATATCGTGTTTTGCAACAAACACAATATAATGTCTTTTTTAAGTCAGTAACTGATATCAAAATTCAGAGTAGAATTGTTCATGATTTTGTATGGGAAAAGCATTTGAAGACTCAGAATCGTATGAAACATGTATTAAAACGGAATATTAATCAGATACATAAAATTACAAACACAATTCTATTTTGAAATCTGACGCTATAGATGTATAGTAAATAGCTATAGATGTATAGATGTATAGTAAAATGTAAAGTGAGCTTTTTAGTGAAAACGTCAATTAAATTGTCGATTGTCATAAAAAAAAGATATAATTCGCCTATTATATTCGGGCTTTTTTGCCCTTATTTGAATACAGGATTTGTTGGATTTTATTTTAGTTACTTATGCGTATAATACGTATAATTTTAGTACGGAATGTTCTGTATATTTTTTCGTGCAATTTACTCTACTAATACTACACAATGTGATGTCGAGCGCGTCGTGAATTCTTTTAGTGGAATGGAGCCGCATATCTGACAACAGTTGCGATATAATTTTGCGAAACGGCTACCGAATTGTTGGAATATATGTCGTACGTCACATATCCCAGAGGATTAGTCACGCGCATGCGTTTTTCGTTCGCGTTTTCCATTTTTGCATTGTATTTTATTTCACCGTGAGTCGCGTTTTAAAAAACGTAAATTATTATGATGAATTGTGTAAAATAAAACCGCTAAAGTGCTGATTGATAACTCGACAAACCAATTTTATTAAGATACAATTCGTGCATAATCGTAAAAAACGATGCATAACTGCTTTGTCACTCGTTTGCTTATTATTATCAATAAAAAGTAACTTTTTTATCGTGTACAATATACATCTTATATTCCGTTATACGTCGCATGCAAGAGAAACGTCTTCTTTATTTTGCCATCTCACCATCGAGAAGTTAAACGTGTAGCGCACTTTGTCGCGAAGTCTGCATGAAACCTGTCGGCGCCTTTCGCGAAATTGGAGCGGGCGCGATTTACAAATGGGATTTAAATCCGGGAGAGACGACCGCGATGGTAGCCGTGGAATATCGTTTGCCGGCACCTAGCGGAGAGACGACAGCGGTGGCTGCGGCAGCGGCGGATGCGGAGGATGGATGGAGGCCGCTTAAAGTGTAAATAGGAGGCGATTCGCGCCAGACAAAGCGTTCCCGTTTCACGATCCTCCCTACGCCCACCAACCTCTCGCTCCTCTCTATTCCGCCTCCACTTCCTCCTCGCGGCCATAAAAGGGACACAGCCCTTCCACGGTTACTACGAGCCGAGGAGTCGAATCAAGAGTCGGCGGAAGTGGAATCCTGAAATATTAATGTGACACCAACCTTCGTACGCCGATTCTTATCCTCGACTCCCTTCTACTTGTCCGCTTCTCTCCTGGACCTTTCTTAGACGTTTGGCTTTCCTTTCCCCCCACGTCCGCCCATGCGCTTACCTCGTTGAATCATACACTACTGTATCGGCCTGGCTCAATTCGGGAAAACGAAAGGGCGAGTGTGTATACACACATTTTTTATACACAAAGACGTTTTCTCGAGAATATCAGTTCACTTGATTAGAAGTGCTACGATCTTTAATGTAACATCGTCAATATTGAAAACGACGTTGTATAAAAATACAACGCTGTCTTTAACACTTTTTATATTTTTACTTACGGTATTTTTTAATGTTTTTTACTTTAAATTTTGCATATATAAAATATGCAAATCATATATCTGCCAAAAAAGAACAGATCTAATATTTAATATTGCATGTATATTAGAAAAATCAACATTCATGTAATAAATACAAAATCTATTGCTATTTAAACATGTTAGTAGAATTGTGACAATATATATCTGATTATTTCGAACAGTTATCCCATTTATTCAGATAACACGTCTGTCATTATTATTTGCAATATATGGGATAATTCTGTGCTTTTGTCAAGCTTCATTAATAAACAGCTCAATAATTAATCTAAATGCGTTCCACTTCCAATATGAATTGATCTTATGACGATTGCATTTAAAAATTTACAATCGCGTTTATTAATTTATCAACTGATGAGAAAATTATAACGCATTTTACATAAATGTACTTAAGCACACGCAAATAGTTTTTGACATATATAACAATAAAATGTATTTATTATTCAGCTATTGCCGATTATAGCGAGCTCTTAAAAAATTTGAGATCGACGATCAATTTTTGACAATTATCGTTACGAAAATCTTTCACGGATTTCCTTAATACAAAATCATATTATATATCTATTATTTTACATGTGAAAATAATGGACATGTTTATGTACACAAGCATTTGTAGGGTTTTTTTCGACAACTTCTAATTATTTTGATATTATGTGTTACAGGAGGGCGAGAGAGGGTATTTGGAAGGGCTCGCCTCGAGATATGCAGATCTCTTCAGGACACATTACGGGGATGTTCTTGAGCCGCTCGAGGAGCTACGCCGGCGAGAAACAAACGCTTCCGCACGAATGCCCAACACTCAGCTCACCACCAGTCATTCACAGCCCATTTACGTGCCCGGAAAATACTCGGTGAGCAAATCCCTCATATTCGCTTTTATTTGCCCCTTCCCGGGCGTTCTCTTCTTTTATTGCTTCCGCGGACGGCATAATGCGGTTATAGGGTGACATATAGTAGCTTGTCTATCGCCGCGATTTCTTCTTATTACTCTACTCCCCTGACACTTCGCCAAATTGCTTTCGAAGGGACAGAACTCGCGAGAAGAACACGTCCAGTTGATTCGATACGAGCATTTGTCTCTTTTTCTGATGGACGGAGACAATTTTATCACGAAGAAAATTGTCAGACGCAGGCAATCGTGTATTTACCAAGCAATCGATGAAATATATAAACGTATTCATATAAGACTAAAATTATATTTTAATAATCTTCGCAACGAAATATGTACATAAATATGTATCTAAGATAATAAATTTTGTGTAGTAATTGGTAACAAATAGTAGTGCCTAAGCCTTATAATTAATGAGAAATTGTTATACGAAATATAATTGTGTTGGTTCAGTAAATATTTTTTTAATATGCTGATTTGTATCTCTATCTTTTATACACATTTGAACGGTATGTTTAGCAAAAGAGAGACTTGACGGGAAATCCTTCACGGAAGTTCAAACACTTTGCGTTTGTGGGCTCATGGCTCCTCCATGAGTAACTTTCCAAAGTGCTTTAAGGCGATTAACCATGTAGACCCTATCGATCCCAGCTTAAATCGGTTATTGTTCGTTACTCAGTCTTTCTCCCTACGACTAATCGAGTTTTCAAACGCAAGCAATCGATTGACTATTAAGGTCAGATTGCTTCGAAGATCGATGATGTGTCGATTTGAAAAAAATTAATATAAAAGTCACTTTTTTTAGCATATCACGTTTTGATTAAGCATGAAAACGATTGGTTATTAAAGTTTTTTAATATTTTTTAAATTAGATACAACAACGATCTCGTGAATATTTAAAATAGAAAAAGTTAACTTTGCAAAATGGATACATGGCACAATGGATAAATTTTTAAATATTATATAATTGTAGTTCTCTTTAAAAAATATTTTTGGTGAATTTATTGTAATGATAATACAAAATTTTATGCTGACTCTACTTTATCAAATTTTTAATCAAATTATCTTTTTAGTTTGAACTTATTTCATCACAAGTATTTTAGTAGGCAATTAAATTAGTAGGCCTTAAATTAAAAATTCTAATAATATAAATTTTGTATAAAATTAAATGGAAAATACGTATAAAATATATAAAAAGTTTTTCACATATTTATTATTTATATATATTAGTTATTTGCTTGAAGCTTTACAATCTTGTAATGTATTGTATAACAATGATTACTTTTTATAATTTGAAATTGGATACAGATTTATAATTACATGGAAAACATTCTACATAATTAGATCTTCAGATTTGTCGTTTTTTTTTCAACAACTTCTTTTTAGTCTGATCTTCACGTCCGATTAAGTCATTTTTTTCCTCATAAAATTCTGCGGCACAACACTACTTTTGTATAACGAGTTCTTAATACCGTCCCCGTCTTCTTCCATTTACAACATAAGTAGTAGCCAGTACTGCTTCGCAAGCAAAACCCACCGCCTCTATAGATAGAGGAAAAGAGCGAACGATCTCCATTTTTGTGCAGCCCTCGAGCTGCCTCAGCGACAAGGAGGAGGACGAAATCTATGGCTTCGGATACGGGGTCTTCAGCCGGCAGATGCTCCAACATCGACAGCAGAAGCTCGCACTTGCCACACAAAACACAACTACCGCCATGACACCAGGTGGACCTCAGGCAACCTATCAAAGGTAACAAGATCGTCTAATATGTGTGTGTTTGTGTTTTATATATATATATATATCTCACGACTTATCCATAAATATAGTCTCGTACAAGTGAATGGTAATACGTAAATTATGTTAAAAATGTTAAAAGAACTTCTGCTCATTAGCGTGTGAAGCGTAGAGTAAAAATGAACGAACATAATTGCAAGAAAAATAATACAATGTTTATATGAAGGTATGTCACTCAGTAAAATAAATTAAAGTTAATTAGAGAGAAGATTTACATTTTAAATTTCTAAAATGAAGATTGTAATATTTGATTTTCTACCTAATTATTCTAATTGTTCTATTATATTATTTATTATACATAATAGTTATAATGCTATTATATATTATTCATTTATTCTAAACACATAATTTAGAACTCTCGTTATTAAATGTTCTAATTAATTGTAAATGAGAGGTAGGTATACGACTACTGCAAAATTGTAATGGTTGCTATTTCACTTGAACGCTAGACTTGTTACGATAAGAGCAACCCAGCGCGGCGCAATCGATCACTCTTTCAAATCACGATCAGTAACGTTCGACATCAAACACATTCGTCGAATAGAGCAAATTCGAGAAAGCTTGAAATAGTAGAACGATTTTATTTAACTGAATTCAATCTGGATAATCAGATAACACCTGTGCAGTACGAGGGAATAATGAAATATTAATGCTAATGGTTTATCCAGTTGGTTCGATATTTTGGGCGTGCCGATTAATTAATCTACCTTGAAACGAATGCAAAATGATTATCACGAATGTATTCTCGATTTTCCGAATTTCCATGTTCATGAAGCGCAGTATTTTTGTGACGCGCTCAATATTCGTTTTGTACGAAGAAATATGACATATACGGATATATCAGATTCAAAACACGGTCGATCTAAAATTGGCTTGTCAACGAGAAATAGATACTTCTCTCTCGAATTACAAAGAATTCTTTTTCATATTTTATACTTTTTTTTAGGTTCTAATTTTAAGTTTTTTAGCGTTAGGATTTTAGCTTTAAATTTTCGTATCAATTTACGATGATCTTAACTCTCGTATCGAAGATGTAAAGAGAACATATTAATTTTCCAGACATCGGAAATCCATTATATTTTATGATATTTCGATTTTTATGCATCTCTGCAGCATACAAACGCAACTCGGCTTTCCGGACCATTCGTTCAATACGCCACGCGCGCCGTACGCTGCCGCAGTCGCGCAGTCTGTTTATTATCCGTAATTGCCCATTGCTAACTGCTCTAACTGATCCGAAATACCATCTGCGTGCAGTCTCGTGCCGGCTGCTTGATATTTAATGGCTAATTAACCGGCGAACCGAGCCACTGAACGCGCTTGGCCCGACATGCTCATGCACTTGCTCAACGGTGCCGCGCCGCATCGTTTGCGAGGAGGAGAAACTGAAAGACGATGAGGGTGAAAAGGAGAGAGGGTACCGAGACAGTAGAGAAAGAAAGAGAGAGAGAGAGGACGCATATCGCATTATTAAATTCCATTATCGCACCATGGCCATCGACTGTTTTCATGCACGCGCGAATAACCAGGGCACCGAACTCATGAAATTGCTCTCTCCTCTCACTGCCGCGATAAGCACGCTCGTTTTTGCGAATGAATACACCTTCACGGACCGTATCCGCATACTCAGTACTGTGACTCGGCTTCATAATGATATAACGCGAATTAATACTATTGGACTCTCTCATGAGAAAACCTCAAGTTACCGCAAATCAAGCGGATCACTAATAATGATATTTACAGGGCTCCTATAAATGATTTTCGAGATTATATAGTATAAAAAAGAATAGTTTTTTTACAAATTACAGACTTTCTACTATTTTTTTGGTAATTATGGTAATGGTAACTAAGACGCAACAGCCTCTTATACTGTTGGAAAATTTGTGTCGAATATATAATAATATATTTCATATGTCGCAAACGGTCCAAATTTTTATATTTATTTAATATAAGATGATTATGTTAGAAAACAACACAGATATTGTGTTTAAAAAATGATCACAAAAAAGGTAATGCTGTCACTAGTTTATTAGTTTACTAGTTGTAAACAAACTATGAAAGCATATTTTTTTTATAATTAACATTTATAATATGTTAAATTAACACGTATTTTATTTAGATAGAATTTAAAATATATTATTTTTATGTTATTTGTTCACTTACTCATAAATTGTGTCATTTCAATACTAAGAAATATTGAATATAAATTTAACACAAAATATTAAAATAATCACCTTATGTTAAATTAACTACTCGAATACATTGAAAAGTTCAACACAAACGGTTAACAAGAACGTGAGTGGACAGTTTCCAACATAAATACACAATGTCTTTTATCATGTGTATACATAAAGTTTTAAAAATTTTGTAAAGTCAAACATCTACCATTGTATGAAGTTTGACATACCAATTAATTATTGTCCAATTTAGGTGTAGTACTAATTTGCGGCGACCATAAAATTAATTGCTTGGAAATAACGATCAATTCGACGTGAAAAGCTTTTTGCGAATTTAATTGGAGTTCTGTCGCTGTAAATAACAGGAATCGAAAATAGCATTTTTCAAGTGCCAAGTGCTCGCCTATTATTCTCTTAAATTAGAAGGGTCTGGAGATGAGGACCTAAAATAGAAAATATAATAAAACAAAAACAATTCCAATTATAGAAGTAAATCAATCGATTACACGAAAATTTCAAACACAGTATAAAATATTAAGGAAATTAAAAATATACTTAATATAATATTATATTGCTATATTACAAGTGATTAAATCATTTGTATTTAATTTTATATAGTCCGTTAGTTGCTCTCTTTATCACGTTACATTTACAACATAATTATTAATGTAGTCAATATGAAAATAATTCGATAATAGATAATGATGATCAACGACGTAATAAATATCAGCTCAGTATTATATCTTTATTGCGTATTTATTGAGAAATTATGTGGTTGAAAAAATTTCTGCGTCCCGAAGAACATTAGGCGAAAATTTTTAATAGGCTCATAAATTCTATCGCAACACTCAGCAAGTTACAGCGAACCAAGCACAGTCTTCGTTACTCATATACGCAAAAATAATTACCGACTTCATGATAATTTATCGCGATGCTATAAAGTATGTATGTACTGCGTAGTATCGTAACAAGATAGGCAGCAAAGAAATTGAAGAACAGCCGACGAGGCGCTTCGTCTTTCACGCTTAACGTTTCAACCGAAGACTTTCATGTGATAGACGTGACAATTTCTAATAAATTTATCGAAGCTGCGATAATGATATTCCTGTCGAAATAACGAATTGATCAGCGTTATCCATTTTCAAATTTACTTACTGCATCTAGAATATAAAAATAATAAAATTAAAATAAAATAAAAAGCTAAAAAAATAAAATTTTTTCTTAAATGAATTTTTTTAATTATTTACAATGTTTTAAAGATGTTTATTAACATCAATAATATTAAATTGCTTGTCAATTTAATTTGTGATATTACATACTCCGGCTTCAGTTTAAGGCCGGTATTCATAATCGGATCTTATATTCAAGATCGTCTTAAGTATAGTCTTAAGATGTTATAAACCAATCAGAGAGGGTTGTATTAGCATCTTAAGACATTACTTAAGACGGTTAAAATAAGAACCGATTATGAATACCAGCCTAAGATTGTGTTTTAAGACCGACAATTAATCGGCACAATTTGCTTAAACTGGAAATTGTAAAAATTCACATAAACATTAGACATCAAGATTCACCTCGAATACATCTCACTTATTTGTATTAATGAATTTTTATAAAACGTTTGAAATAAATATCTGCACAATCAATATCGAAAAAATAAATATTGAAACGGAATATAATCTAAAGAAAAATTCTGTAGCAGAAAAATATTCTGCAACCATGCACGCAACCGCTTTTATCCGTCTCTTGAGCGAGAGAATTCATCGTGCCTGCTGTTGGAACGCGCGTCGAAGCGACTAGACGATGATCGTGGAATTCATTAGCAACGCGTAGATGGATATCGCGTCCGATTGACGAATGGATCGCTTGCATTAATTATACGCGGTTGCGCACACGGCTGACGAACCGTTGGCCGTTTGTCACACGGTCGATGATGCGTTTAACGATCACTCGGCGATGATGCAACCGACCAACCCGATCGACCAGTCATGTCTTTCCACCGGGGAGCATTTGTCCGCGTGAATGCAACGTCATTATCATAATGCAGTAAACCAGTTCGGTTCTTTTTCGGACGCATGCGTCTTATTTCATTTCTCGTGAGATTCATCTGCCGATTCATGCGTGTGAGCCGTGAAAAAAATTATAAATCTTTTTTATTTAGATCTCTTTCACTCGCATGTTTATTCAAATTTTTTTCACGATTTTTTTCGCTGTTTCTATATACAGAGTGATAGTTAAATATTCTAAAAGATTTTAAGGGATGATTCTTCACACTAAATCAAGACGGAAACTTCATTTAAGAAATTTTTCTTGCATAAAAAAAATAATATTTTAATAAAGGAAAGAAAGGAATTAGGGGATACAGGCATCATAGTTGAAGTAAAGATTTCTTTTTTTCAAAAATTTCAATTAAAAACCTAGTGTTATTTTGATAAAATTTTAAACATACACAAACATTTCATTGAAATAACCCAAGTGGTTTTTAAAATTTTTGAAAAAAACAAAATTTTTCCTTTAATTTTGACACTTTGTATCTTTGAAAATTGTTTCGGACATGTAATCATATTAAATCTTTGTCTTCATTTAGTGTGAGGAATCGCCTTAAAATCTTTTAGAATACTTAACTATCACGCTGTATATCTGGCGCAAGTACGTCACCGCTTCTTTCGATATTTCTTTTGCACTTGATTCTCGACGATGTTGTTTCAGCCTTCGTCAAGCTGAATTGTCGATATAATCCCTTTAATAATAAGGCTCTCGAAATAATTTATAATAGAA